ATAGACAAGACGGCGATGTCAATGGACACACTAACGCAAAAGAACCAGAATCTCATCGGGTCCTAACCTGGACAAAGAGCAACAGATGATTAATGAGGCCTGAAATGGGGAGAAGCAGCCTCTCCCAGAGATGAGCCTGCTATTGGTTGTGCAATATAAAGTGGTCAGCCCTGAAACCATAGACACACAGACAATAAAAACAGGCTCAGAAGATTGCATTTTTATAAATGTGGGGGTGGGGTGTATCCATAAGTACATGCATGCATGCAACAATAACAATCCAACAAAAAGAAGCTATCGTTTTGAGAGTTGGGAGTGGGTCCTGGCAGGGGCTGGAGGGAAGAAAGAGAAGGGAGAAAGTGGTACAATCCTATTTTAACTAAAATGTATTTTTAAAAAAATAAATAATGAAACACACAGCTGAAAGAAAGCTGTGGCATTGAATCCATGGGGAAGTCTGTGGCCACTATCAAATCTTAGTGACTGTGGCCATCTAAGGACTGACAATATGCCTTTGTCCTCCAGTTTTCACAGATGTGATTCTGTTTGGAGCTCTCCTGTCCCAAAGGTCCCTGAGAACATTTGAAAGACAAGATTATAAGCTCAGGAAAGATGTCACTACAACTTCCTTCACAGAGTGAAGATGGACCACCCATGTTCAGCAGACCCATAGAGACGAGAAGGTGCTACATGTGTGTGTGTCTACATCTGCTAATAGGGGAGAACCTGTGTGAAGGCACCGAGATGGAAATTCTGCTTCCAAGCCATGAAAATATCACCCCAACTAAACTAAACTACACTGAGTCAATCTGCACTGTGTGTATAGAAGACTGAGAACAGCTGTCAATCACGGACTGTGTCCATCTTATAGCTGTCAAGACAGCAATTTCAAATTCAGACATGATTTAATGGTTTATCCTCTTACTCTCTGACAAAATATTTAAATTTACATCTACTTCCATAAATGACCAAGACTTCCAAAATAAAAACCAAGGCTTCCAAGTACACTTAAAGATGACAGACATCAGACAGTACTTAAAATATTCATGATACACTATAAAATTTAATTCTAGACCAAATTCCTCCAGGAGGCCTATATGATACATTGCCTGATAATTCTGTTAAACAAGAAGGTAACCAGATAAGCGATTACAAGGTCATGTGACACATTTCTGGGATTCTGCAAAGTGTGTCTACCTACAAGATGGGCTGCAATTTGCCCTAACATTGACTCTGCGAGTATGAGATAATACTGCACCACTGAGAGTCTGTAAGAGTCAAGTCCTATAAAGTTAAAAGCACAGTTCAAGTTACTGTGCTCTACTAGTTCAAGCTAACAAGCTCATGGTAAGGATAGGCATCTGGAGATGTCGCTCAGTGGTTCATATCTTAAGTATGAGACCCTAGGTGTGATCCCAGGTGCTTGGAAAGAAAAAAGCCACCCCACCCCCCCACCCCCGTCTTAAACACTGGTGTTTAAGCCTTGCTCCTTATACAGCTCCACTTTTCAAAGAGCAGACAAGGAACAAAGTGATGCAGAAAGGCAAAGCAAAGACAATTGGGGAAAAAAAATAACTGGCTAATGCAAAAGCAACTACAAAAAAAAAAAAAAAGCAGATTTATGTAGATGCACAAGTCAATGAGCTCCAGATGTACTGTTACTGTAGTCCTCACAGGTGTTTTTCTGCTTGATAAACATAACAGCCAAGCAGAAAGGCTGTTGAGGCACTGAATCGTCCCATTTGGGCTCTGCTTTTCTGCTGCTCTTAACTATTTTGAGCTATTTTTCAATCGGGCAGCCACTACTGAAATCCTGAGTGCATAGGCTTGGCAGAGCAAGGAAGAAAAAGTGCAGTCCACAGATTTGTTTCTTCTGCTTGCTCAAGACAGAATCTCATTAAAAACATGCCCTCAAATTGTGGCCGCCTAGAGTTATCAGAAAGAGCCATTCTGTGACTCTGAACATAAAGCCCATCTCTCGGTGGCAAGAAGTTATACTGTCACAAGGCTCAGTCACAACTGTTCAGATTGTATCCAGTCAGAACATACATCAATCAGAAACTTCTGCTGCACATGGATGGAAGTTTGAGAGGGAAACTTGGAAAAGCACACAGGACAGGTTTGACTTCACTGACAAACTTATTTCCAGGACATAGGCTAATTAATTATAAAAGCTTTTTCAAAACAACCTGTTTCTCACACCCAGACAGAGGAAAAAAACTGATTTGTTTTTTAAAGGAAGAAAAGCCCAGGTTTATGATATTAAAAACAGGTTACAAAATAAATAAGACATGGGGTTAAGAGAGCTTCATCTGCAAGTCCATTTTATTTATCGTATTTTTTTTTTCTTTAAAAGGCTCCAAGTGCTTTTGTGTGCAAAGCATCAGGTGGTTTCCTGCATACCCCTCCAACCCCCCATTCCCTCACCCCACCTCCATGTCTGGTGGTAACAAGACTTTGGGTCACTTTAAGCTCCTCTGCAGCCTTTGAAGGAAGCAAAGGACAGAGATGCTTTTGGGAGAAAGACCTCACTGAACTAACTGGCTACAGTGACAGCTATAGTTAGGTGGATAATTGCTCTGAAGATATACCCATTAACTTTCATTTGCCAGTCTTAAAGATGGAACCAGTAAAGACAAAAAGAAAAGGGAAAAAAAAGTTGATTTCAAGAACCCAAACCACACATATTTTACAGCAAAATCAACAACCAAGGCCCATGATGCTCCAATGTACTCTGGTCCTTGAAGATAAAGCTGATGTGATTCACACTGCAAGCCATGAAACTGTCTCTACATATGCCCAGATTTAAAGAGACGCAACAAAATGAGAAATTTCTCACAGCCAACATTTACTGGCTATCTGCTCACAAATTTCTAGCCAAAGATGGTCATTCCTAATAAAATAAGACTTACCTAAAAATGCACCAACCAGATATGTCAACCCTAATTGGTGTTTCCTTACCCGAGTTCAAATACCCTACCAGAGGGCATGAATAATTAGCACTGTTTGGTAAAAGCTGTATGGAGCCACAGTGAATATGGTAGCTTTGAAGGAAATACTAAGGGTCCAAGTTTTCCTTTTGCTACTAGTGTGTACTTCCCAACACATTTGCAAATAAACACCCGGAATCCTGACCATATTCAGGGCCATCAGAAGAAGGCAGAAGAGCTAACCATGTCAATGTTTGTGGAGGAGCAGCCCAAGGAGTCAAGAGTGAATATCAAGGTCACGCTGAGGACAGTCATCAGTTCTGGGGAAGAGGCCTCTTCCAGAAACACCAACAGATAAAGATAAAAAGAATGACACCAGATCTCAGGGAAACATGAAAGTCGACTTGCTAGAAACCCATTATGCTTCTAATCCATGGAGAAAAGGAGAAGGAAGGTACAAAAAGCACAGTGAACTGAGAGAAAATGGGAACAAGAGATTAGCTCCAAAGCTTTTCTAGTGATCTGATCTGAGCAAGTGAAAGCCTTTTAAGGAAGCGTCGATGAGGAGGTTGAAAGATCCAAGAGCCATTTCATAAGTAACAGAGTAATTTCACCTTTCCTGTGCTTTTTAGAATTCAGCACAGCCTATAAAACTCTTGTCATTACTACAAGATCTGCCAGTTAAAGAAATAACAGTGTCATAAATTTTTTTGTAGAAAAAAATAGCAAAGTATAAAGAAAAAAAAAACAATCAAAGCTACCCTACTTAAAAAGACAGATCAAGAAGAAAGCCTAGGACTGATACCCAGTTAGTGCACTAAGCATGAAGCCAACTAAAATTGTATTATGCTGTTGTATCAAAGGATTCAAAAGGAAGAGAAAGAATCCGATGCACGGTTTTCTGAAATATGCATAAAGTACTGTTTCCATGTAACAGAGGGGAAAGCTGGGACCACCGCACACACACACCTATCCAGTTTTGAACAAGAAGCAAAACCATATTTTCTCAATTCATGCCATTCATATCCCTTACTACTTACTGTAAATCTGAGTGCAGGCTACAATTCTCTCTCTCTCTCTCTTTCTGTCTGTCTCTGTCTCTCTGTCTCTCTGTGTGTGTGTGTGTGTGTGTGTGTGTGTGTGTATAGGTCTGTGTGTCTAGAGTATCTGTGAATATATGCACATGAATGGCTAAATTTTGTGTGTGTGTGTGTGTGTACGCGCGCGTGAGCACGCACGTGCAAATGTGAAAAGCAAAGGGTGATATTGGATGTCTTCATCCATCACTCACCATTTTATTTTTAAAATCTGGCCTCTCACTGGCCCTGGAGCTTGCTGATCTGGCTGGACTAGCTAACTAGCAACCCCAGGGATCCCCCTATCTCTACCTCCCCAGCACTGGGATTACAGGTGTGTTCAGCAGCAGCGTGTGTGTGCACAAGTAGCACTTTGCCAAAAGCCCCTCTATTGTCTGTAAAACATGGAACTTTCATTTCTTTGAAGTTCTGCGATTTTTTTTCATCAAGGAGTATCAATACATTATGTTGTTGAAATATAATGCATTTACAGATACCAAGCCAACTAGGAAAATGACCCAGTTTATACCACATTCTTTTCAAAAGAAAAATAAAATGGCAGAAGTTCAAAATCTCTGTCCTTTATTACAGACACTTAATGATATACAATTACCAGAACCCCTTAGCCTTTTATAGTATACCAAAATACTTTTTCATGCAATACCCCACTTAATCCCCACAACAAACCCAAGGTAAAGGTTATTAATATGCTCAGACTCAGCCAAAGGTAATGGTTATTAATATGCTCAGGCTCAGCCAACTGTAGCTCCAAAGCTAACAGAGCCCAGGTGAATGCATCACAAGGGCCAAAGCCAAGACTTGATGGTGTCTCCTCTGGTCCCCACACATTTTGCTTTCTTCCTTGGAAAAAGAGCCAACTCCCATCTGCACATAGTGTCTATTTTAGTGGTGACAGCCACTATCTCTAATCAACCCAGCATCTCTTAGATACATGGTCAGTCTTCAGTTTCAAAGAGGAAAAGTCTCTGCTTACCTGGTCTTTCTCCGGCTTATCAGAAATGTCATTCAGACTGGAGGATGTCAGATTCCTGTGGGTCATGGCTGGGCTACCTGGAAAAACACCAGCAAACTCTGATTAGAGACCTCTTTTCAACGGCATGGGACTGTGGTTGAACATTCTATAAACACTGAGAGATAGATGGTGATGAGAATGGTGACAAGGCTTTTAATCACATTAAATCCTGTGGCATTTCCCTGAGTCCAGGCTGGAATACAAATACAGCTAATGGAAAGTATGTAAAATCCCAAATACTTTGTCTTATTGTCTAGTTATATTTCAAATTAAGTTAAACCACAAAGATGTCCAAACCAGTAAGTGTAGAAACCTGTTTCTCCAGCTATGATCATGTCTCTCACTGTCTTTTACACATCTACTCTAATGTCCCCTTAGTCCTTTGCTTTTCACCTATAGACAGCTCCCACCTATCACCAAGAGAACCGGGCCTGGGTGTGTGCCTAGATCCCCTCTACTGTTGGCCTGGGCTGTCCTTCTAAGCATATGACTCTCCTAGTCACCCATAAAAGCTACCCACCATCCTTTGCCCAGCAAACGTTTTGGTCACAAACAGTTCCTCTTGTTGGTATCTAGCCCAGAATCCCCAGTCTTTGCCTCAAAATAGTATTGTCACAGGTACCTTGACTACTTGGTATCCCAAGATAAACACTTTCCTTTACCCTCTGTAACATGGCAAACTTCTTCAAGTAGAAGGATGAACTGTACAGGGCACATGACATTGCACCAATCTTCCTATAACAGCCGGAGGTCAAACTCACTAGTAATCTATCCAGTTATTCCCAACACCGTTAGACACAACAAAGAGCCATAGGCTGCCAGACTGCAGAAGACCATGTTAATCAACAGGCTTCCATTTTGCAGTGGGACCTGAAATTTCTAAGCTTATTAAGCAAAACAGTAACTCTTCAAAGCCAGGCATTTGACCCAACCCCTGCAGGGTGCTGAGCAATGCACTAGCTATTAATCCTCAATGATCTGAGTCAGGCAAGTCTTCCCAGCAAGAGGGCAAAGGTTGAAAAGCAGCACCAGGTCCAAGCACAGTGTCTCCTTGGCTTGAAACCATTGTTCACAGACATGAATTCCCTTCGACAGAAACTCCAACACACAATCTTACAAAAGACAAAAATCTGTTCCTGGTAAATTAATGTTGGTGTAACAGCAGTTCTTTAAATAATATAATCCCTTGAACCACTGTATCAGAAAAGATCTAGTGTTCTGAGCTGGGAAGATGGGGTATTTTCCACTTCACTACATTTCATTGAGTAAGCATGGCCTAGATCTCTTAAATCCTTTACCTGGCAGGGTGTTTTATTCTAGGAAAATCTGAGCACAGGGCATTACTAAAAAGAAAGAAACATCTGACCAAGTGTTTTTTAAGCAAAATTAAAAGAGTCCTGTTGAAGACAGCATTTTATGCTTTGAACTGCATTCTAACTAGTGTCCACTCATTCAAACAGTGTCAGGAACAAACCTGAATAGCCCCAGGTAATGCTGAGATGGAAACTAATGGGAAATGATGAGTAGGTTTAACTTTGTCCTTTCGTTCAAAAAACAGAACCGGTCACTGGCACTACCTGGATGAAAGTTCTTCCTGAATGAGAAGGACAAGCCACATATTAATCAATGAAGGCTGAACAATCCTGATCACACACATACAAGTTAAACACAGCCTTCAGGGAGAAATGGACCATACTGACATCTAATTATTGCATTAATTTTATTTAAGTGGCAGTAATGACATAATTCAAAAGTTAAATCAATTAAACATTTGGGGTAACAGATTAAATATATGGATTCACTTTGGAAATCTATGATAAACACTGTAAGATATATTTGAACCAACCACTGTCCTTCTTGCCAAAAATCCTGAACAGCAAAAAGCCAAAACAACAGGGGATTTGTTATGATAAACTTGATTGACATGTCAATCTTGCCAATGAAACAAAGCCTGTCTCATTTCTCTCCTTTCTGAAGGACACCCATTTTGTGGCTAATCTCGACTCACTCTTTTTTTGGGGGGAGGGGATGGTTTGCAGAGGAAGGCACAAGTTGAAGAAGGACAACAGAACCAGATGAGAGAAAAAAAAAAAAATGTCTCGGTTAATGAACAATCAAATCCACGGACCCTCCTAAATCTGATTTGATTTCTAGTCATAAAAAATATTAACATGAATGTTCAATTTTGTAATATATTGTAACAGCTCCAGGGCCGACACATGCAGGACAATGGGTAAGATGATTACAATTGTTTAGTTTTTTTCCTCTCTCTTTCCCTATCAAATGCACCCTCACTCCTCAAACCTGGAGCCAGAGACAGACAAATGCTGCCCAGTGCTCTGACTCCATGGTAACCAAAGTGAGGGCCCAGGACCAGCAACATCCACATCTGAGCTCAGCACACACTAGCTCCAACAAAACTCTGGGCATGGGACATAGAGTGAGTTTCATCCAACCTTCCAAGTAGCTCTACAAAATGAAAAGTCATCTTGGCAGGCGGTGTACTACTGGGACTCTCAACTGAAAGCACTACATCAGAGGCATCATTCTGGCAACGTGCCATGTGCTGTGTTGCAAAGCCACTGCTGTCACCTGTCCTATCTGAAGTACATTGCTAAATTAGCAACCTCACTATAAAAACACACACAAAAGAATATTTGGGTTTTCCCTTGATTCCTCACCTATACGAACAAATCAATAACTACCTTTGTTTTGGAAACTCACTTTGACCACAGAAACATATTACCGAAAGCAAAGAAGGCAGAACAAGAGCCAAGAGAGATTGCGAACTAGACTGTATGTGGGAATCAGAAATCTGTGTGTGGATTTTAACACATGCAGGAAGCTGTTACACAACAGGCCCCTAACAACGAGGTATTGTATACATTTTGCAACAGATATGCAATAGGACATGTTGTCAGAATAAATCAGTGCTCTGCATTTAGAGTTGGAGCATGTAATATAAACACATTACACCAAAACACTGAGGGAGAGGACTAGAAAAACTGTCATCTGGCAACAACGGGTGAAACAGAAAAGTGTCATAGAGTATATTACCTTTAGGGACAGGTGGTAACTTACTAAAGGCTGCATTCAAAACCTCTTTCCAACTAAAATCCAGGACACTCAGGTATCTTGGTACTGTTTTTGGCCCAAAGGAACTTGACTTCTAAAGTGTGATTTAAAAGGGGGGGGGGCAGTCTTAGGTGCACAGTCACAATTATTCTCCATATCACCATTTTCAAGCCATAAGGAAAACATTGGAGAAACACATTTCCAAGCAGTTTCACACGGTCAAAAACTGTTTCATTTTCAAAGTATCCACTTGGCAGGTACATACCATTTCTATAAAAATTAATTACACTCTGTACTGTTTGAAATTCATTGTTATTCTTTACTATATGTATAGCAATTTTGAAAGTCCTTCGCAATTGTATTTGTTAGATGCATTAAAAAGAGGTGAAGAAATGCACAGCATAGGAAAATGATATTTAAGTGTGTGCATAAAATGCAAATATTTATATAATACAGTGAAAGATTAACCCCCCACCTTACCTCATACCTCCATTAGAAGCTAATAAAATACAGAGAGACAAGCTAAAACAAGGATCTCATGACCTATGAACTATACTGGATTCTTTATTCTCATGAGTAACTAAATAACAATTTCAGCATTAAAAAAAAAAAAAAAAAAGTTCCCAGGATGGATGGACTACACCTGCAATCCTAGGTACTCAGGAAGCTGAGGCAGGGGAGAATTCCAAGTTTAAGGGAAGCCAGGGAATATAGTGAGAACTGTCTCCAAACAAAAAGTAAAGGTTGGGAGCTGGGTGGTGGTGGTGGCACATGCCTTTAATCCCAGCATTTAGGAGACAGAGACAGGTGGATGTTTGTGAGTTCTAAGCCAGCCTGGTTTACAAATTGAGTTCCAGAACAGTCAGGGCTGTTATACACAGAAACCCTGCTTTAAAAAGAAAAAAAGAATGAAAGGAAGGAAGGAAGGAAGGAAGGAAGGAAAGAAGGAAAGAAGGAAGGAAGAAAAGAAGAAAGAGGAAAGAAAAGGAAAAAAAGAAAAAACCAAACAACCAAACAAAAACAAAAGTGAAGGTTGGGATTACAGCTGAGTGTTGAGGTAGTCACGTGGATTCAGTCCCCAGTACTACAAAGAAACACATTTTAAAAGATAAATAACTACACAGGCAGTGGTGGCAAAGGTTTTTAATCCCATCATTGGGGAAGCAGAGGTGGGCAAATCTCTGAGTTCCAGACTAGCCTGCTCTACACAGTTCTAGGACACCAGAGAAACCCTGTCTCAAAAACCAAAATAATTAATAATAACAATAATATAGCTTATATATTATAATAGACCTATAAGTAAATATAAGTCATAATAAATCTCCTGAATTTTATCAAAAATTCAGAGGTATGACTCTGATTTATACTGTTTGGGATCGCAGAAAAATATGCAGTTTATTTTTTAAAAGCCTACGCTATACATTTGTCCCCAGTCTGTGGAACTACTGGGAAATGGTGGACTCTTTTAGGATGAGGGTAGTAAACAGGAAGCTGACCTTTGGAAAGAATCTTTGAAGGGCATAAGGACTCCTCCCACAAGTTCCCACCAAACCCAAGAGCCTGGTGACTTGATGAGATGAGCCCCAAAAACTCTCCCCCTACTTTTAGCTTGCTTCTTTTAGTATTTAGCCACAGGGATGGACATCGTCCAAGCTCAGCTAGTTAATGTGCTCTGAAGAGGCAATGGCCACTACTTACTGAGTAGCAGGAACTGCTTACCTTAATTTCCATATCAATACTGGGATGTTAATATTATTACTCCTACTTTATACGTACATAAATGACCGTCAAGGATGGTAAAGTTCATGACCACACAACAAATGGTAAAATCATACTTTAAATTTGGCTCTCTGAATATGAATCACACCCCTGCTGAAAAGGAAACTTGGCTCTGTATTGTTTGGGCAAACATGTAAACATGTCTAGTGAGAAGAAATAGCAATACATGATGACAATGAATATA